ATTGGCACCAATACACATTCCTGCCAAAGCAGGCCCCCTTGTGCTTGTGCAGCAGAAGAAATAGCAAGGCTGATCAACAGCAGAATAGATTCCTGCTGCGTCTTCTGCATGAGGTTAAATTATAACCAACTTTTGCACAGAAAACACAATACATTTTGAATCGGTTCATGCAGCTACTCTTCCAGGAGCAAGGCGTAAGACTGAGAGAGAAAGGGCTCATTAAGGTAAATGACCCACTGTAATTTCTCCACCTTGCCATGCCAGGCCAAATAAATTGGAAAGAGATTAGTTATGATTGATTCTGTTATTTATAGAGTAGAAATTGAGATAAACTAATGGGAGCAATAAATGAGTGTGTTCTCCTGAGCGGTGTTTTAATTCAAAAAGTTTTGTTCATTGACTAATTTTGCCTGATGAAAAGGAACTTATGCCTGTGTTTAACTTTGTGAAAATAAGAGGTTCTATTGACTTCATTTAGGACTACTTATGTGATGAAAAATAAGCACACGCAGAGTTGCTTGTAGGATCAGGCTCTTAAAAGTTATTTGAGCCTTAGAAACTAAGTCAAATTGTCTGTAAACAGCACGTATTTTGTTTAGCCTCATAGGAGAAAAATCATCTATTGCAATCTCATGTTCCATGGTGGACTGTGATGCAGCAAAAAACTGACAGAAAGATAAAACAATTGCCAAGCCATTTTAGTTTTGTTTAAAGATTTTTTTTAAGTTATATCCATTTCTTCGTGACATAGAAGGGTAAGGGGATTCATAATATCCACAGAACACCTTTGTTGTTCAAGATTTCATCTGAAAGATTTGACACATAATAACCTTGGTTTCAGAGTAACAGCCATGTTAGTCTGTATTCGCAAAAAGAAAAGGAGGACTTGTGGCACCTTAGAGACTAACAAATTTATTTGAGCATAAGCTTTCGTGAGCTACAGCTCACTTCATATTTAGTCTCTAAGGTGCCACAAGTACTCCTTTTCTTTTTGATACTAACCTTGATGGCTGGAAGGTCTGAGTTGAAGCTACTGAGATCTGAACACGTGGTTTAATAGGTTCTAGCTATTCTAAACACAGGGACAGTTTCTGCCAGTGTAGAAGAATAGGGGAGGCATAAAGGGGACCTGTCAGAAGGGCAGTCAGACTCTCTGCCTGACCCCAGCCCTGGAACAGGTTAGAGCAGTGGTTCCCAAACTTTAACAACCTGTGAACCCCTTTCACGAAAATGTCAAGTCTCACAAACGCCCTCCTAAAAATGAATATTTCCAGGGATTTTCTCCTTTACCTGAGTATAAATTATAAGAGCAGTGATCTTGGAAATATAAAATTTGTTTTTATGACATGCTTATTACACACTATTATTCATTATTATTTATCATTACAGTATTTGTATTACATTATGAAAATGTCAACACTCTTCCAAGATCTCACTTTCATAGCTTGTCTCACTTTGAATAAGCCTGTTATAAGACAAGGCTCCTATGTTTTATCAAGGAGTTTCATCAGGGAGTATCAGATGTGAAACAGCATGAAGGTATTTAAGAAGCCAACTCAAAGAGTTCCTTCTACACAAGCATTCAGGTCTTGAGCAGTCCAAGCAAACGATGCACTTTACAACAAAGCTTAAACTTGTTTTTCATATTAATTTTAAAAACATTACTAGCTGCCTATTTAATTTTAAAAACAGCAAAAAATATCCACCTCACTTTCCATTTCTTATAAGGAGTCTTGAAGTTTAAATCTCCTCAGTGTGATAGATATGCTTGCTTTGATCTGCTTAGCTCTTGGAAGTCCAAGGGCTCTGGGCTGCTGGCCCCATGCTGCCCGGGGTTCCTAGGGACAGCTCTGTCCGCCATTAGGGAATTTTTTCCCGAGAACTCCCTGTAACATTTCATGAATCCCCAGGGGTTCCTGAACCCCAGTTTGGGAACCACTGGGTTAGAGCAACCTGGGGGCTGCTCTAACATGTGCCAACTGGCAACGGTCCCCAAGGGATTGTCTACAAGTTGAGTATAGCCAAAGTGAAGCATGCTCTGACTGTGGCTCCACCCTGCACCTGACGCCCCTTCACTCCCTGTGACAAAGCCCGCAAGGTCTGTGCCTGTTGTGGCCGACCCCATGTCAGAGGAATCTCCATCAGGGGAAATAGGATTAGATTCTATCTCCTCTGTGCCGTCACAGCGGTGCAGAGGAGATGGAGCAGAACAGACAATCTGGCCTCTGGTGTTTGGATAGCTGAGACGTCACACATTTAGATCCTTTTAGCAAATAAATTAAACCTGGAGCAAGGCGGTCTGTGTTTCTGGAGCACCCAGGGTGAAATTATGGAGGCCCTGAAAGCAGAACAAATTGGTTTATGGGGGTACTGCATCAGCAATCCTCTTTGCCCCATGGTGCCAAGCTTTATAGTGACATAGTGGCAGTGAGCTAGGGGCATAGCCAGTAAGTTCATGCCTCATAGACACGCGCACGGGGAGGGAAGTCGAATCATGTTGCCAATACATTTCATTCATAGCCTGCAATAACAGCTAAGCACCTTCCTAGTCACTTGGTCTGCAGAGTCTTTTAAGGACTTCTTCCTGTCCAAGGACGGCAGGGTTTGGCCCAGGGATGCTACTCCAGACCCTGAAAATCAGCTTATTCCCTCCCCCCCCACTAGTAAGCCACTTCTGTGGCACACATTATCTTGTTGTTATGTATTCGAGTAATACCTAGAAGCCCCAGTCATTGGTCAGGACCCCATAGTGCTAGGTGCTGTACAAACAGGGAACAAAAAGATGATCCCTGACTAAAGAGCTTACAGTCTAACCATAAACCTGCAATTTAACGCAGGGGCAAAGTGGTTAATAGTGGGGAGTGGAGGGTTGTGTGTATCTGGGTCTGGGTGTTAGCAACACGGCTCAAATCCAGTTTTGCATAAGAAAAAACATTCCCTTCTGTGGTATTTCGTAGCTTCCTCCTCTCCTGGTATCTCCACAACTCAGTGTCTGACTTCTCATAGTTATGTAAACTTCCCTGAATGTGAGGTGATGACAGAAAATGCCTAGAATAATTTATGCTTCTCAGTTTCATCTTTGAGACTCAAACTAACTCAACCGTAATTTGAAGGGGGCTTGGTTTAGGCTTACATTTTCAAATATGGCCATTGGATGTGGGTGCCTAAAATATCTGGGGGTCTAACTTGAGGTACCTTGGGCCTGGTCTGCAGAGGCATTGGGCACTCACATTGCTCACTCCAGGGTGGGTCAAACTGGTCTCCCAAAATAAGCAGCCACTTTGGAGAACACTGGCCATATTTATTTATTTTAATGTCAGTGGAAAAACTGAAAGCTGTTCCTTCTCCTTCTCTGTGATTTATATCTTCATAAGCAAGTTTTACAGGGGATCCTTTGGTTCTTCACTGTCTGAGGCTGAAGAACACAGTAAATAACTTTATAGGAGGGTGACAGTGGCTTCCATGTCTTGAAATTGTTTTGGTATCAGTATGCATCTAGCTGCATGACATACAGCAAGACATTGAATTATGTGATCCACAAAAGAGTGCAGAGAAAGTCCCCCGCCACGCCTGTACCGCTCCCAGACTACCCTAAGTAAGTCCTCTGTAGAGGTGTCAGACCAATGTTGTTTCACCAAAAAAAAAAAAAAAAAAAAAAAAAAGTCAAAAGGAACACCGTTCACAACTGAGAACCTTTTGCCAAGCACTTTCTGCCTCCAGCTTTCAAGTGTGTAGTCAAGGGTTGTCAGCACATAGTCTCAGTGGGTTTGGGTTGATTTTGTGGTGTTGCAAAGGGAGTATATGTAATTGAAATATGCACAGGAAAACAGGATTGTTTAGTGTGTGTGTGTGTGTGTGTGTGTGTGTGTATAACACACAGTGCCTGATTCAACTTTCATTGACACTGCTGTAAATCAGGAGTAACTCCACTGAGCTCAATCGACTTACACCATTGTAAAATGGGGGTTAATAAAAGACGAATCATCAGGGCTTTTCTTCATGCCAGACGTAATCTGCAATGTCCTCATAGTAAAAAGCACTACAGAGAAAGGGAAGGGGCAGGCAGAAAGAAGGAGGCTACAATTTTCCAGTTGATGATGTGCACGGTAATTTCAACATTAAGGAGTTTACATAAGATTCTTGGCAAATCAGCAAATCATGCTAAGTTTTCTCGCTCAGCCTAGGTGGGGCTGAGCAGAAGACAAGTTCTAGTAATGTTCCCTCCTCCTGTTGTACTTCTTCTCTCCACAACCAGGAACACTGCAAACAGCGGAAAAACAGCTGCTGTTCTCTTCTGAAGTCTCTGGCTTAATCTGCTTTCCCTTCAAACTGCAGTTGTAGATCCTCCCCTCCCTAGGTATGCCCCAGTTGCTCCTGAGGTGTGTGGTCTGCTCTGTTCATACCCATCCAACCATTCCAAACTGAGTAGTTTATCTTTGCTTGGCCTAATGTATGGGACGCCGGACAGGGAGTCAGAAGACCTGTGTTCCATCTGTGCCATGCCTCTAGCCTGCAGCCTGACTTTCAGCAAGTCTGTTTCCCCTCCCACCTTTTGTCTTTTTAGAATGTAAACTCCCTGTGGCAGTGATGGTCTCTTAGCCTAATGAGACATACTATGTACGTGTATGTACAGCACCTAGCCTAATGGGGCCCTGTTCTTGGTTGGCTGCCCTGGGCACTAGTGTAATACTCTATAAATAGTAATCCAGTCCAGGTTGATTCACTGGTCTGGGATTATCAGCCCTCTCTAGCACTTGGAACAGGATCAAGCTGTAGAAGAGCTAAAGGGATTGAAAAAGAAGAGAGTGACAATGGAGGGGCAAGAAATTGGAGAAAGAGAGAAGACATACAGCAGAAAAGAGGCAGATGAGAACAAGGAATGGCTGGAAGAAGAAAAGAGAAAACTGGAATTGGCATGTATGCTTTTGGGTTTTTAAAATACAATATGGTATGAAAGAAGTGGTACTTACATGAGTGGCTCGGCTTCTCCTCTTACTTACCCAGTTTTACGCCATTGTAACTCAGATGCGACTCTTGATTCACAGAAAGAAAAGGAGTACTTGTGGCACCTTAGAGACTAACCAATTTATTTGAGCATGAGCTTTCGTGAGCTACAGCTCACTTCATCAGATGTTTACCGTGGAAACTGCAGCAGACTTTATATACACACAGAGAATATGAAACAATACCTCCTCCCACAGAGTCTGCCCAACTCATTGGCCATTTGCACTCACTCCACGCTCAATATACAATTCCATGCTAGAGATGCTGCAGATTTCAGTGTGATAAAGTACAGAGGTGGGCTGGAAACTCTGTAGCAAAGTGGAACTGAAATCATGAATGGTTTCAATACCCTGCTAATATGCTAGTTGCTGTTCTTGGTTATAATATAACCTCTGCTTAGAGGATGAAGCTCACACCAGCACAAAAGGGCCATGCACAACCAACTGAACCACTTAATTCATATATCAAGGCCTTAAATGGTCTGGACAACCTGAGGTGGGCCATTCGCATAGGGGTGAATTTTACCTGGAGTGAAAAGAAATCACTTCAGCTTGGGCCAAACGCTGCAGCTTCTATTCAGAAAAACAACCGTTGAAATCAAATGGGTGTTTTGCCACAGTCAGGACTGCACAATTAGGCCCTCGAAGAGGTTTCAATATACACAAGATTGCTGCATTCATTAAAACCAAGAAAACATTCCTCCCAAGGCACTACGCACAGCTGACATGCAGCCACTTCTGGAATGGAAGGTGACAGTCACCTGGCACATTGCCCAGGGAAATTTTGGCCAAGCCATTATTCTTACTTCAGCAACGTGGGCAACCTTCCTGTCAAGAAAACTGCATGGAACTCAGATAAGCTGCTAGATTAATGCTGCAGGGATTTGAAAGTGTGGCTTGGGCGGGGGTCCGGCCAGCCTGAATCCCAGACCACTGAATCGTCCAGTTCCGTATTTGTATCTCAAGCATTTGTATTATTTATATGAGTATTTACATTCTGCCCCATGGCTTAGGAAGGCCTTTAGCAGGTGAAATAATGTAAGATAGCATTCTTGTGCATTTCAATTCCTGAATGTTATGAATACCCTGAGAGTAGCAGATTGCTTGTAACTTTGGCCCTATAAATGTTCCCCCGATGCAGTGGGAAAGACTATAAAACCCACATATACAATCAGAGGGACAAATTCTCTGTCCAAATGAAATAATAGGCAGCAGGTTTAAAACAAATAAAAGGAAGTATTTCTTCACACAATTGCACAGTCAACCTCTGGAACTCCTTGCCAGAGGATGTTGTGAAGGCCAAAACTATAACAGGGTTCAAAAAAGCACTAGATAAGTTCATGGAGGATAGATCCATCAATGGCTATTAGCCAGGGTGCACAGGGATGGTGTCTCTAGCCTCTGTTGGCCAGAAGCTGGGAATGGGCGACAGCAGATAGATCACTTGATGATCCCGTTCTGTTCATTCCCTCTGGGGCACCTGGCACTGGCCCCTGTTGGAAGACAGGCCACTGAGCTAGATGGACCTTTGGTCTGAGCCAGTATGGCTGTTCTTATATTATGTTAAGTAATTAGGCAAGGCTCCATTGAAGTCAGTGGAAATGCTCCCATTTAGAACAGCAGAGAATTTGGCACAGATACTTAGTTTTGTTAGAGTTCAATGGAATACTTTTGGGCTTTATGCAGAAGCCAAATGCATACATGCCAAGTGTCCTTCTCTCTGCCTCTACCCCACCCTCCCCGTTCCTTAGCATCTTTTTTTTTAAAAAAAGGAAATATTTATAGTTTTCACACGTTGTCCTTCCAGAAAGCTCCCCTTCCCAAAGAAGTTTATTTTGCATTTACTGCATCTCCACTTGTCTCCCCAGTCTTGAGGTGCTTATTCAGTCCGTGGGAATTTTGTATAAATTAAGATGGAGAGAGGTTTTCCTCTCCATTCCCACCATTTTTAGATCTTCTGGGCCTGATCACCCAGTGCCTTGCAACTTGTGTCAGGGTAACAGGTCACTACCTCCCAAACATCCCCTTACGGCATTACACAAAGTAAAACTATTTCCCCATGTTTATTCCCCTACCCCCCACTGTTCCTCAGACGTTCTGGTCAACTGCTGGAAATGGCCCACCTTGATTATCACTACAAAAGGTCCCCCCCCCCTCCTGCTGGTAATAGCTCACCTTAAGTGATGACTCTCCTTACAGTGTGTATGGTAACACCCATTGTTTCATGTTCACTATGTATATAAATCTCCCCACTGTATTTTCCACTGAATGCATCAGATGAAGTGAGCTGTAGCTCACGAAAGCTCATGCTCAAATAAATTTGTTCGTCTCTAAGGTGCCACAAGTCCTCCTGTTCTTTTTGCGAATACAGACTAACACAGCTGCTGCTCTGAAAGTTGGCGCTATAGCAGCCCTTCCTCAGTTTCCCCTTTGAAACACCTAGAAATAATCGAGAAACTAGTTTTGAGAAAATCTAACACACCTGCTTGGGGCTAGCTTAATAACAAACAACCTGTGCCTTCTATCACTACATACTTTTTGAAGGGGAGAAAACAATCCCTTGAAAGGGAAACCCTAATTTTCCATCATAAAAAAACAACCACCCAAAAACCATGCCCTGATCATGCATTCCCAGCAGGCAGGTCTCCTACCTATAGCCCACTCCTGCTCCTCAGCTCTTTGCATGCAACTCGCCTGCCCTGCAGTTCTTGCCTGAAGGCCCCTGCCTGCTGCTTCCCCCCTGCCTCCCATCCAGGCCCTGCTGCAGCTGGTGGGGGATAGCCCCCCTCCCCCGGGCTTTGCAGCCGGGAGCTGACATCACAATGGGAGGGGAGCGGCCCCTTCCAATCAGCGCCCAACCCAGCTTCTAAGCCGGGCTGCCATTGGCGGAAAGAGCTCGCGGGGGGCGTGGCTCCCTGCAAGAAGCGAGTGAACTTTCTCCTCGCGACCAGCTCGCGCCTCGCTTGTTCGCGCCGATGGAGCTGAGCCGCGGCCGGCCCGCGGCGGCGCTGCCCGGGATGGAGGCCGAGAGCCCGGGCGAGGACTACGAGAGCCTGCCCACCGGCGCCTCCCTCTCCACCCACATGACGGCCGGGGCGGTGGCCGGCATCCTGGAGCACACGGTCATGTACCCGGTGGACTCGGTCAAGGTGCGCGGCGTTGCAGGGCGGGGGTTGGTTGCGAGGGGGCGTCCCTCGCTGGTGCATGGTTGGGGGGGGGGCATTTACCTCTTCTCCTCCCCCCCCCCCGCCCGCCCGCCTCATTATGTGGCGCTTCCTTCCGCGTTATTGCAAACGGGCTGTGTCCGTCCGTCCGTCCGTGCAAACGTGCTTCCTTGCCCGTGTAGTCGTGCAAATGTTGGGGTGATTGTGTTCCCGTCTTTCCTCTTGCAATCCCCCCACCATTTCCTCGTGAGTGCGCCCTTTCCCTGGTGGTTGTTGCATACATGGGGGAGTGAGTGTGCTTTGCACTTTCCAGTTTAAAATGCGCGGGGCTGCTGTCTTCCCCCCCCCCCCCACCTCCAAATCTCCCCTCTGCATTATACTTCCTCTTCTTATGTGTGTTCACATAAGGGGGTTGTGCTCCCCAGCCCATTCTGTGTTGTAAATAGGTGGGCATCTGTTGTTTCTCCCTATGTATTGTGGGGTAAGGTAGAATTTTTCTCAGTCCCTCCCCCCTACCCCCCGCTTCTTTTCTGTCCTGTTGCAAAACTGGGGTGCATGGGGCATCATCGTGGTTCTGTGCCGTAGATTACGAAGTGGGCCTGGGGAATGACTATAGGGTCTAGCAGTAAACTCAAGAAAGCTGTCAGCCTGCGTGGGAAGAGCTGTGTATCTTGGAATAATGCATGTGCCACTCTAAACACGTGAGGGCTTCAGAAAAGAGCCTGCATGGAAGGGAGGGTGGCAGCTCCTGCACTGTGATCTGCAACTGCAGCCTGGACGAAGGTGTAAAGGGCTGTTGATCCTGTAATTGTCTCTTACTCTTCTCTTGCTGACTTTTACGGGGCCCAGATAATGGGGAGGATGTAACAGCGCAGTGTCTGTGAGGGCAGCTTGGTTCATTGGAGGGGTAAAAGTCCATATTGTGCCATGTTTCTGCTTCAGTTGTATCAGGGAGGAGTTGGTTTGCCTTTTAAGTGTCATGTTAATAACTCGGGTTGTGCAAGCAACAGTGAACCTGTCTGTGGAACCTGTTGGATCCCTTTTCAAGGGTGTTTTAACATGTTCTGCTTGCAGAGAAATCTTGTAAAGACGATGATAGTGCCAGTTGGTATTGTCTGTTTAGGAGCTCCAAGGAGTCGGTGTCTCCAGGATGCTTGACGTATGAGCCCAGGTTGGAGTGATGCAGGTCAGGGTCGAAAGTGGTGGGTCAACAGAAAGGAGCCAAAGCAGAATCCTTGTTTAAATGATGGGTGCACTACCTGCAGCCGGTGGAGTTTTAAATACAGCCTAGCAGCAACCCTCTTTGCCCAGCATGAGGGCAGAGTTTGATGAACTGATCTCAGTGGCCAAGTGCCATCTCATCCCCTCTGAAGGAAGATAAAACTATTGGCTAACACTGCGATTGTATGCATTTAGTTCTGACTTATGCATGTATACTAAGCTTGTACATGTATATGCCTGTCCAGGCTGGCTGCTAACTTCTGACAAGCCGCTAATAATACAGCGGTATTGTTATGAAGATAGACCCCTGTTTGGGCTCCGGTCTACTCCGGTGGAAGTTAGCATGTATGTTAGGACACTGAGATGGTTATTAACACCTCTGTAAAGAATGGAAGGTTTTAAAGGTGTCTGAGGTTGTATGGATCTCAGAGTAATTATTGTGACTTCCAAAACTTGTTCTTGACTTCTGTTTAACGATATATCCATTCACAAATAGAGTGTAGCTTAAAATCAGGGGAGGGAAAAAAAAGGCTATAAAGACTGCAAACAGTGTGATTTGTAAATGACTAAGAGCTTTTGAGAGGTGCGTCAACATTTTGACACAGTGAATTTAGCGAGCAGGCAGGCTTAAGAATAGGAACAAAACATGGGTAATGAAAGCTGGCAGAATTCTCCTGGCCCCAGATTTCACTGCAAATCCCAGTTCACTGAAGGTTTGCAAAGCTGGGCCACTGTATGGCTTTTGGGTGAAATTGATGAGCTTCATCTGGTGTTTGTCTGAAACCAGACAGAACTCTGCAGTGGCCTGAAACTCTAAGTGAAATTAGTGGGTTGCAAATGGACACATCTGAGTCTAACACCAGGCAAGTCCAGTGCAAAAGTCAAAACCTTAATTGGGAGGCTCAACTTGCTTACAACAGAGGCCTGGAACTGTCTGTCCTGAGACAGAGGATGGCCTTGTGGATAACTGGGTATTAGGATCTTTGGGTTCTATTTCTGGCTGTGCTGTAGGCATCTTCTGTGGCCTACTGTAAGTGTCTTAAGGTAGGTCTACAGGGCAAACAAAGCGAAAAACAGCCCACCACAGTGGGTGTTGGAGCTTGGGTCAGCTGACTCAGGCTTGCACTCTGGGGCAAAACATAGTAGTGTAGATGTTCCCCCTCGGACTGGAGCCCAGGCTGTGAGACCTGGCTCCAGGCTAAAGGGGAACATCTACACTACTACTATTTGCCCCTGTAGCATGAGTCTGAGTCAGTTGACCTGGGCTCCGAGACTTGCTGCTGTGTCTCTCTTGTGTGGTGTGTTTTGTTTTGCAGTCTGTTTTCACCATTAGTCACATGGGGATAATATCTACTTTGCATATGGCATGAGGCAAAGTTGTTAATATTGTAAATCTTTGACGTCAATGCACAGAAGTAGCCCTTACTGATCAGGGATAAGAATATATTGTACAAAGTTGCTAGTCTTCACAACCTATCTAGTATGTCTTATGCCCCAATATTCCTAAGTACATAGTTTGATAAACACCCCTAGAATAGTAGGGCATGTCACTGTTAAGAAGTGGATTGTTTCAAAATATTCCACTAAGCTTTCTTTCCTAGTTCAAACAAATGATCCCTGTCTTATTCACTGTAGCTATCTGGAAGCATGTTGTCCTAATCCTAAATTAGAGATGGCAGAGACCTATTTGGCCCTTTAGATGGTAGGTTCTCAATGTGTGGGTTGGGGTTACCTGGCCTTTCACATCTTGCCAAATGGGAGAGGGATCCCAAGTAAATTCTGGGGGAGCTGATATTCTAGTTTATCCCCTGTACTTGCAGGGCTGTTTGAAACCACAGTAGAAAGATGAGTTTGAAGGGAAAGAGAGGAAATTCCAGTATCACACTGTTAATGCGCAAGACACTTCCACGCTGACAGATGAATGTACAGGGAATATTCCTAAACCCGTTTGTTCCCCTTATTCCTGACTTCCATTCTAGCAGGAGTATTTCATGATGAGCCAGTTCCTTTGGGTTCTTTTGTGCAACCTTTCTAGGTCACTGAATTGTGCTGGATTAAAAATGCTGAAGCATGCTTTTTCTAACAATTTGCAGAATGGTGTTAATCGTGGGGCATCGCTTTTCTCATATGGCTTACATTAACAGTGTAAGTAGTGTTAACCCCAAGCCACCTCCCTTTTCATGCCAATAGGCAGGTATAATGAGCTTACTGTATTTTGCCAAGTCATGGTTAGAGTTGCACATCACCATTCAGGACTTTCCGGTGTTATTCAAGAGGGCATTTCCTTTACTGGGAAATTGGTGGGGAGGGAGTAAATGAAAGTAATGTCTGTTTTCTTTTAAGCAGAGCTTCTCTGTAGCAAGGTTAAATACACTGAGATCTATGTCATGGTCAAGGGGAATGACAGTCCTAAATTGCTTCACAGCCTGATTACTAAGAGGGTAAAGAGTAACAGCCGTGTTAGTCTGTATTCGAAAAAGAAAAGGAATATTTGTGGCACCTTAGAGACTAACAAATTTATTTGAGCATACGCTTTCGTGAGCTACAACTCACTTCATCGGATGCATTCAGTGGAAAATACAGTGGGGAGATTTATAAATTTATAAATTTTCCACTGAATGCATCTGATGAAGTGAGCTGTAGCTCACGAAAGCTTATGCTCAAATGAATTTGTTAGTCTCTAAGGTGCCACAAGGACTCCTTTTTCTTTTTAAGAGGGTAAAGTTTTCTCTGATGGGTGGGGTGATGACTTGACTGTAGTACTTCACACTTAGATGGCATGCTCCATCAGAAGATCTCGAAGCACTTTAAGGTAGGTAAATGTTACCCCCATTCTGTAGATACTGAAACTGAGGCATAGAACATAAGCAAATAACCCAAAGTCACACAGTGCCACAGCTGGGACTAGAATTCAGATTTTCAGATTCCTGGTTTTGTGCTCTACTTACAGTGGCAGGCAGTATTATCTAGAATCTCATCTCTCAAATCCTGGTGGGTTAAGAATGAAAGCTGACAACAATGAAGTGCCCAAAAAACCCAACCCTTTTTCTCTAGCAAAAGTCTACTTTAAGTGACTTGATTTATCTCTCTTAATCACATACTCCTAATTCTATTGGCATGTTCCTTTTTCATCATCAGACATGGCTAATCTGTTACATTGCAAATTATATACATATAGTGGTCACTTGCCCACCGCTGAGGTGCAGCCACTTGTGGAGCGTAATGCAACAAACTGTGATCCTCACCCTTGTGCAGCACTGTCGGAAGCTGCAGTTGCTCATATAGGTTGAAAATAGGTAGGCCTTACCACTTACATGGCCAAATTATGCCTTTGTTTAGCCCATTGGGATTGCACAGGTGTAATGGCAAA